GCACTGAGAATCTGGGACCAATTCCGCATGAGTTCGATTCCCGCCTGCCCTGGAGGTGACCGCATGGCGTGGCAGACCTCTCCTGACCCGTCCGCTGCTCCCCTCAGCAGTGTACTTCGTCAATCTGTCTGTTCTGTTCCCCACTCTGTCTCTGGTGAAGCCTCTCGCCGCCCCTGAGCTTCTGGCCTGTACCCCAGTTCTGTATGTACAAATAAATCTTTAAAAAAAAAAAATTATTTCCAATTAGCAGGATTTTTTCTGTTTATACATTTCAAAGTTTATAGTCATTTATTGAACAAATATTATTAAATATTTACTGTGTATCCCACTGATCACTTGTTTATCATGTGGAGAATAGAGTCAGTGTGGACAAGCTGGAGACGGGAAGAGGGGACTGGTAAGTCTGTTGTCTCGTGTAAGTTTAAACACGTAACTCAGAGGTGCAGGCTCATGGCACTTCAGATGGGTGGTGCCACATCAGCAAGGTGCCCACTGTCTTCTGCCATAGTCCACTGCTCTGTGGCCTTCCACCCCTGCTTCCCTCAGTTCTGCAACCTGATCTAGAGTTTGTTTTGATTTAGTTTTGTCTGTTCCTTTGTTGTTTTGTTTCTCTATATGCCACACATGAATGAAATCATCCAATATTTGTCTTTTTCTGCTTTCCTTGAATAATCGTCTCAGGTTCCATTCATGTTGTGCAAATGACAACATGTCATTTTTTAAAAAATTTTTTAAATGATTTATGCATACAGAACTGGGGTACAGGCCAGAGGTGCAGGGGAGAGGCTTCACCAGAGACAGAGTGCAGAGCAGAACAGGCGGATCAATAAAGTACACTGCTGAGGGAGCAAAGGCAGGACAGGAGAGGTCTGCTGTGCAATGTCGGTCACTCCCTGTCTGGGGATCAAACTTGCACTGAAGTGGCAGTGGTAGCTTTGCAGTGCTGTGCTTCAGCCTGTGGCACCACCTAGGAGGGCCACTAGTCAAAAATTTAAAGATGTTTGTCTCCACTGTACATTTGAAAAAATCAGATACTAGACGGAACTTGGAAAGCTATTAGATTTTAGCAACAGAAGGTCCTTTATTTAATATTGTTGAAAGACTAGTCCAATAGAGAGATGAGGATGGAAACTGACTGCTGATTTCTCATGTGTTTATGCTTTCATCCAACTAAAGAGGGACGGGTGTGGAGGAGAAATGTTTTTTTTTTTTTTTTTTAAAGGTTTATTTATTTGTGCATACAGAACTGGGGTATAGGCCAGAGGTGCAGGGGC